AAAAAAAAAAAAAAACCAAACAAACAAAAAAAAGTCCATGCTCTGAACGGGAGGAGGGGGGAAAAAAAGGAGTCCATGCTCAGTTGGTCATGGTGGCTCACGTCTGTAATCCCAGCACTTTGGGAGGTAGAGGCGAGAGGACTGTCTGAGCTCAGGGTTCGAGACCAGCTTGGACAACTTGGTGAGACCTCATCTCTACAAGAAATCAAAAAATTAGCCAGGAGTGGTGGTGTACACCTGTGGTTCCAGCTACCTGGAAGGTTGAGGCAGAAGGATTGTCTGAGTCCAGCCATTGAGGCTGCAGTGGCCATGAGTATGTCTCTGAACTCCAGCCTGGGCAACAAAGTAAGACTGCAGCTCAAAAAAAAAAAAAAAAAAAAAAGAGTCCATGCTCTTCAGCACTTTGCAACATAGCTTCTCAATTAAAAAAAAATCACTCATGAATTTTCTCTTTCCCACTTCCTACTTTTTTTTTTTCCTTTTGAGACAGGGTCTCTGTTGCCCAGGCTGGGGTGCAATGGCATGACCACAGCTCACTGCAGCTCCAACATCCTGGGTTTAGGTGATCCTCCTGCCTCAACCTCCTGAGTAGCTGGGACTATAGGCGCACGCCACCATGCCCAGTTAATTTTCTGATTTTTTTGTAGAGACGAGGTCTCACTACGTTGCCCAGGCTGGCCTCAAACTCCTGAGTTCAAGCAATCCTACTGCCTTAGCCTCCCAAAGCCCTTATCAATAACAAAAGTTTACCTTATTTTTAAGGTTAATCAGTGACTTCAAAAGCTGCAAAATTATCATAGTTTTGAAAATTATGTTTCAAACTGAATTTTGTACATGAGGCATTTGAACCTACCAAGTGTTTTTATCCTCACAAGGATATTCACACAACTCAACACGTTCAATCTTCTCTGGAACTGAAGAACTCATGATGATTGGCACTGAAACAACACGCTGATAGTGTTCCAACATTCTTATTATCTTTTCTTTGCTTACCCCATGAATATTACGTCTGAAAATTCCAGGGGAGAAAAAAGTTGACAGAATATTGGTAATTAAGTTTTTTTTTTTTTTGGGTAATTATTAAAAAATGGGAACATGTGTCTAGAAAAACAATAATATATTTCTAATGCGTAAGAATACCGAAGCTGGTTTATTATAATACAATATATACTATTTCGTTCTAATGTTCATTTTATTAAGGATACTTTAAATCATTATTTTCTTCATCGTTCCAAATATCCTTTACCAACTTGGAAAGATGAGTAGATTGCAATAACTTTAAAAAAATCCCATAAGAATATGACCATCATTTAAGACTTTGATTAAGTATGAACTAGTGAATTAAAAAAAAAAACTCTCACCAAAGGGTCTTTCACTTACACCAGTATGACACACCAGACATCCCCAAGAGCCCTCCTGTTACAATAAAGCTACACCCAAGTCAATTAAAGCAAACAGACATTTAAGTTCAAACAAAGAAAAAAAACTCCTAGTATGTGAAGTTTCTGGATGTCCAAATCTGAAGTTTGCTGTCTGAGTTTTCACTCATAGTGGCTTATGTCTTTTTATATTTTGTTTATGAGCTCATATTGGGTTGAACTTAATAGATGGGGACCCTTAGGCTGAAAACTAGGGGTGCTTCCATTCAGATACCATCTAGATGTGCATCTGTCAGGGGCCAGGTGGTATGCTTTAGTCTCTCAAAGGTTTTGTCTTAGTGAAAATATTTCAGTTGCAACTCTCCTATCTTAGGCTGGATTCAAACTTTGTGTCTGGACCTAGGGATAATATTAGCATTTGTCACTTGGGCAAATCTGGCTTTCATATTTACCTACCTCAATCTTGTCTGGTTTCAGATCACAGAGAAGCAAAGAGATAGAAAATATGAAAGAGAGGTTAAGAGACATAGACACAGAGGACAGAGCAAAAAGGTCTAGTATATATCTAATCTAAGTCCCAGAAAGAGAAGAGAATGCATGGGACAGGACCAATTTCAAGAAAATGCTGAGAATTTTCCAAAACAGATGAAAAATACCAATCTCCTGACTTAAGAAGCCAACAAATTCCAAACAAGATTAAAAAAAAAAAAAAATCTATGACTAGAAACATGGTACTGAAATTGTCATTCACCAAAGACGATGATATTAAAAGCAACCTGAAATTTGTAAAACATCACTTAAAAATAGTCATCTATAAAGAAAGCAACAATCAGAATGACAACTGACGTAACAACAATGACGTAAGTCACAAGAGAGTTAAATGTGACTTTCAACAACAGAAAATAACTCTCTAGAATACATGTAATACATATCTAGCAAAAGTACCTTACAAGAATGAGAACAATAAAAGGATTTGCAGATTTTTATTTATTTATTTATTTATTTTGAGTAGGAACCTCACTCGGTCACCCAGGCTGGAGGGCATTGGCACACTCACGGCCACCACAGCCTCCACATGTTGGGCTCAGGTGATCTTTCTACCTCAGCCTTCCAAGTAGCTGGAACTACAGGCACATGCCACCATACCTGGCTAATTTTTTCATTTATGGTAGAGATGAGGTCTCGCCAAATTGCCTATGCTGGTCTCAGATCCCTGGACTCAGGCAATCCTCTTGCCTTGGCCTCCCAAAGTGCTGGGATTATAGGTGTGAGCCACCGCGTCTGGCTAGATTTGCAGATTTTTTTAAAAGTTGACACCGAGCAGACCCTCACTGTAAAGAAAATTCTGAAAGATGGATGTCAGGGCAGAAGGAAATTCCCAGATGAAAGGTCTATGGGGCAAGAAAAAATGAAGCAGAAAGCAACAGCAACATGAATAAGTGAAAACAAACACTGTTTGCAGACTCTGGACGATGGTAGCAGTTGGTAGGGACATAAGTATTGGAGTTAAATTATTTTAAAATCCTTGTGTTTACAAGGAGAAGAGCTAAGAAAATAGTTTAACTTTATAGTTGGCATGTTAAAACTTTAAGGTAACCAGTCAAAGAACAAAAAGTAGATACAAATTTCCCAGTTAGTAGAGAAGAAAAATATTGAATAAGGAAATTTGAATTCAATTCATTTTTTAAATCTAAAATAAAACATGCTAGGGAAAAAAAACTCCAACCGTATGATTTTCCTTAATAGGAGTACAATCAAAAGGTGAAACAGACAGAAAGCACAGAACAAGATGGTAAGAAACAAGATCAATTACATGAATAATCAAAAAAACCATACAAGAACGAAGCTTATCAGTTAAAAGTCAAGGTGGGCAGAGTGAAGTCTTGAAAACCCCAACATAGTGGTCACAAGAAGTACACCTAAGATGAAGAATACTGAAAGTAAAAGCATGGAAAAAGAACACGCAGATACTAACTAAAAGGAAGCTGGCGTCGTTCTGTTAATGTTAGACAAATTAGACTTTACAACAGAAATTGCTATTAAAGAGAAAAGAAAATTACAAGAAAGGGATAAAAGGTTTAATTAATTAGGGTGATATTAAAATCTTAAACTTGCATATACTTTAAAAAAATCCCCTCAGAAAGCAAACACAGGCAGAACTATAAGGAAAAACTGACATGTTCAACAAAATAAAGGGAGGGTTCACCATTTCTCTCTCAAGTAGAAGAGATATCAGCAACAGAATTAATAAGCATGTGATGGATATACTAATACACTGTAATCATGTTTATTCTTACCAACTTTGAAACATTTATTAAAAATTGACAATTAACTAGGTCACAAAATGTCTTTTAAAATATTGAAGAATTATTATCACACAAACTACACAATCTGACCTACTGCAGTTAAAAACCAATTTTTTTTTTTTAAAAAACCCTATTTGTTCAGAAATTTAAAAACACAGCTCTAAATAACCTAAGAGTTAAAGAATAAAATGAATCATAGGGCAAATTAGAAAATAACTAAATAATAACAAAAAGAAAGTATTGTATACTAAAATTCTGGCACAGAAAAGTGGTACATAGGAAAATTTTACAATAGCACTAAATGTTCATATTAGAAAATGGCTAACCATTCAGACAAAAAAATTTTAAAGACAGAAAAAACAAAGCAAAAGAGTTTTTCAAAAAGAAAAAAACACAGAATAAAGAGAAGGAGAAATGAATTAAGCATTTTTTAAAAAATTACAATAGAGATCAATCAAGCCACAAGTTGCTTATTTGAAAAGGCTAATAAAGAAATCTGATCTCCGGTGAGCATAATCAAGAAAAAAATAAGGTAGATAACGTAAACATATGATGATTGAAAAGGAGAACTTAGCTGCTAACACAGCAGATATGTAACAATAAGAGGCTGCTATCATTGTTTTCATAAAGTCTTTATAAATTTGAAAATTTGTTGTAATGGAAAAATTCCAACTGAATATTCTCACAGAAAAAATACCAGATCCAAAGAATTTTTAAAGTAAAGTCTAACATTCAAACATAAGTAAATTTAGAAAAGGGAAAAAAAGGAGATAATTTCCAATTAATTTTATGAGCCTAAAACTATGATATCAAAGCCAGGTGGCTCACACCTGTGATCCCAGCACTTTGAGAAGTGAAGGCAAGAGCATTGCCTGAGCCCAAGGGTTCGAAACCAGCGTGGCAAATTGGTGAGACCTCGTCTCCACAATAAATAAAAAGTTATCTGAGCCTGGTAGCACACACATTTAGTTCCAGCTACTAGGAAGGCTGAGATGGAATGATCGCCTGAGCCCAGCAGGTCAAGGCTGCAGTGGCTCTGAGCGTGCCACTGCAGGCAGCCTGGGTGACTGTGACTCAAAAAAAAAAAAAAGACAAGGAGAGGTAAGAAAGGAAAAACTGTCAAACAATCTTACTCATTTATACAGATGCAAAAATCCTACATGGAATGTCAGAAAATAAAATCTAGTAATGTATCAAAAGGAAAATGAAAAGTAATTAAGTACTGCTACATGCTACCACATGGGAGAAATTTTAAAGCATTATGCTGGCCAGCACGATGGCTCAGCCTGTAATCCCAGCACTTAGGGAGGCCAAGGCGAGAAGACTGCCCAAGTCTGAAGGTTTGAGACCAACCTGGGCAACTTGGTGAGACCTCATCTCTACAATAAATCACAAAAACAAGCTGGACGTGGTGGCATGCACCTATAGTGCCAGCTACTTGGAAGGCTGAGACAGAAGGATAGCCTAAGCCCAGCAGGTCAAGGCTGCATTGGTGTCAGCATGTTACTGCACTCAGCCTGGGATATAAGAGTGAGACTCCAACTCAAAAAAAAACAGGGCAGGCCATGGTGGCTCACACCTATAATCCTAGCACTTTGAGAGGCCAAGGTGAGAGGACTGCCTGAGCCCACAGGTTCGAGACCAGCCTGGGCAACTTGGCGAGACATCTCTACAATAAATCAAAAAATTAGCTGGTCATGGTGCCGTGTGTCTGTAGTTCCAGCTATTCGGAAGGCTGAGGCAGAAGGATCGCCGAAGCCCAGCAAGTAGAGGCTGCAGTGGTCGTGAGCATGCCACTGCACTCCAGCCTGGGCAACAGGGACTCAGACTCAAAACAACAACAACAACAACAAAAAAAAACATTATGCTAAGTGAAAAGATGCTGACCAGGCTCAGAGGCTCATGCCTATAATCTCAGAACTCTGGGAGGCAGAGGTGAGAGGACTGCCTGAGCCCACGGGTTCCAGACCAGCCTGGGCAACTTGGCAAGACCTCATCTCTACAATAAATCAAGAAAAACGAGCTAGCTTAGTGGCATATGCCTGTAGTTCCAGCTTCCTGGCAAGCTGAGGCAGAAGGATTGCCTGAGCCCAGCAGATAGAGGCTGCAGTGGCCATGAGCATGCCATTGCCCTCCAGCCTGGGTACCAGAGTAAGACTCCAACTCAAAAAAAAAAAAAGATGCAGACACAAAAGGGCACATAACATAGGTGACATTTATATGCCATGTCCACAATAGGAAAATCCACACATACAGAAAACGTATTAATAGTTGTCCAAAGGAGGGGAAATTGGGAGTACCTGCCAGCAGGCATGAAGTTTTTTGAGTGTAGAAAAACGTTCTGGGATTTGACAGTGGTAATGATCACGCAACATTGTGAATATACTAAAATCAGGTTGTCCTTTACTCAATATTGAAATTAGTTTAAATTACCAAGAAAAAAAGAGCCTGACCAAAATCAAGCTGGGACTATCTCTAAGGGAATACAGAGCACGGAACAAAACAGGCCAAATGGCCATGCCCTAAGTGACATCTTTCTTCAAGTCAAGCAATCAAACTAAACACTACAGTCTTGCAGGGTAGCGGCAGGAAAGTGAAATGCCTGGATGGCCGGCTACCTGCTACCTTCTCCAGTTCTAGCTCCTTCCACCTTCCAGGAGTCTAAGTCACAGGGCAGCTACAATAATCCACCCTTCCCAATAGCGCGTGGTTCACATGTGTCAAATCTTAGATCTGTTCTAGTTTCAGACACTAATGTACTATTAAAGGTAAAAAGTACTGACAGTATAAGACAATTAGAATGTTTTGACTACTAACTCAATTTTAGAAACAAAAAAGACACAAAATTTACATCAAACTGGGAAAAAAAAACCCATAGGCAATACAAAATGTGCTATCAATTTTTAAGTGAATAAGTTGCAATCAATTCATTTATCATTTATAAGGGGAAAAAATCTAGATGAACTGCCCAGCACTGTGATGAAAAAAAAAACATATTAGATAGCTTCCAAGTTTTACCTTGCAAGTTCCTTTGGTTTGAACTTCCACCACGTGTCTGGTTCCCGGAAATGGACTTTATATTTATGTTTTTGAGACTATTTACAAAACAGACAAAAAACATTTTAAAATAATTATTTCAATAAAATTAAATTCACTGTTTACAAACTCATAGCATGCTAAAAGTGAAAGAATCTAAAAGATTATCTTTTTTTTTTTGTCAAGGAGTCTTGCTCTGTCACCCAGGCTGGAGTGCAGTGGCATGCTCACAGACACCCCAGCCTCGACCTGCTAGGTTCAGGCGATCCTTCCGCCTCAGCCCTTCAGGTAACTGGAATTACAGGCATGCACCACCACGCTCAGCTAATTTTTTGATTTATTGTAGAGATGAGGTGTCACTAAGTTGCCCAGGCTGGTCTTGAATCCATGGGCTCAGGCAATCCTCTCACCTTGGCCTCCCAAAGTGCAGGGATTATAGGCCTGAGCCACTGCGCCCTGCCTGATTATCTAATCTTTTTTTTTTTTTTTTTGAGTTGGAGTCTCACTCTGTTGCCCAGACTGGAGTGCAGTGGCCGCTCCCGGCCACCGCAGTCTCGACCTGCTGGGCTCCAGTGATCCTTCCGCCTCAGCCTTCCAAGTAGCCAGAATTACAGGCATGCGCTACCACGCCTGGCTGATTTTTTGATTTATTGTAGAGATGAGGTCTCGCTGCCCAACCCACGGGTTCAGGTAATCCACTCACCTCAGCCTCCCAAAGGCGCGGGATTACAGGCTGAGCCACCGAGCCTGGCTTGATTATCTAATCTTAATGGGTGTGTTAAATTGGCAAAACACATAATCTCTCTAACCCAGCAACAGACTTCCAGAAATTTATATAACTGATAAATACTTACATACGAATGGAAAGAGATAAATACAAAATGTGCTACTCAGTTCACCACTATTTGTAACCGCAAAAAAATACAAATAACTCAATGGTTATTAATATAGAAATGGCTATTTAAATTAAGGTATAATCATAAGATGAAATATTCTACACTAATTTTTTAAATCCTACATGTATTAATGAAAAAAAGGTACTTAAATTGTTAAGAAAGGGCCGGGTGCAGTAGCTCACACTTATAATCCTAGCACTTTGGGAGGCCAAGGTGAGAAAATTGCCTGAGCTAAAGGGTTCCAGCCCAGCCTGGGCAACTTGGTGAGACCTCATCTCTACAATAAATCAAAAAATTAGCCAGGCATGGTGGCATGTGCCTATAGTTCGAGCAATTTGGAAGGCTGAGATGGAAGAATCACCTGAGCCCCGTAGGATGAGGCTGTGGTGGCCTTGAGCAGCAAGCAACTGCATTCTAGCCTAGGTTACAGAATAAGACTCTGACTAAAAAAAAAAAAAAACAATGATCAAGAAAGGAAGATAAAGTATTTTTATGTAGGTAAAAAAGGATTACACAGCTGGGTGCAGTGGCTCATGCCTATTATCCCAGCACTTTGGGAGGTCTAGGTGAGAGGATTGTCTGAGCTCAAGGGTTCAAGACCAGCCTGGGCAACTTGGCGAGACCACATCTCTACAGTTAAAAAAAAAAAATTTAGTCAGCCGTGGTGGCGGGTGCCTGTAGTTCCAGCTACTTGGAAGGCTGAGACAGAAGGATCACCTGAGCCCAGCAGGTCAAGGTTGCAGTGGTCATGAGCGTGCCACTGCACTCCAGCCTGGGCCACAGAGTAAGACTCCAACTCAAAAAAAAAAAAAGGGATTACACATTTATATATGCATAGAAAATTTCTGGACAGATTCTCAAAAATACTATTATAAACATCTATCTTTAGGGAGTAGAAACTCTCTTTTTTACAGTTTAGAGACATATTAATGCATGACTTTGATAATTTTAAAACTATTTTAAACAATAGCTCAGTATATTTTGAAAAGCTAATATGGCTATAATTTACCAGTCAAGTGCTATGTCTGCACTAGATCCATCCCCTCTCTCCTACTCAAGGATAAATGACTACCTAAGTTAGCTTTTTAGTAAGTTAATCATGGCTAACGTTCTGAAAGAGGTGACATCAAAACTGAGCAAAAAATAATAGGCAAACATTTAGCCAGACAAATATGGAGGATAGGAGGAGTGAGTATATTCCAGTGAAATTTGACAGACTCAGAAAAATAGCTCAGTTGAGAATTCTGAATTGCTCTGAATTCAGAATTCTGAATTGCTCTGAAACTTCAAAAGAAATTTCAGAAATAACAAAGGACCACCAAATTTTGATTCTGCCAAGCATGAAGAATCAGAAATAAATATTAATAAATACACATATATACACACGAAAAAACCATAAAATTATAATATTGCCACCTTCTCATAAAAGACAGCAAAAACCAAAACAACCTCAAAACTTAAAAAGATGAATTTCAGAATATGAAAATTAAATCAATTTAGTTTTATGAAAAAATGTAGCTATATTGTCCTATGTTTCTCATTTTGCCAAAGACCACAGAAAGTTCAGTTACAGACTGAGCCGAGTGGCTCATTCCTGTAATCCCAGTACTTTGGGAGGCAGAGGGGAGAGGACTGTCTCAGACCAGGGGTTCGAGATCAAACTTGGCAACATGGCAAGACCTCGTCTCTACAATAATTAATGAATTGACTGGTCATGGTGGTGCACACCTATAATCCCAGCTACTTGGAAGGCCAAGGCAGAAGGATCACCTGAGCCCAGCAGGTCGAGGCTGTGGTGGCCATGAGTATGCCACTGCACTCCAGCCTGGCGACAGAGTGAGACTCTGACTCAAAAAAAGAGAAAGTTTAGTTACAGACAGTCCAAGATTCTGAGATTCTCAAGTGCATGAAATTCACTTGTGTAGTTAACATCCCCCAATAATTTCAAATCCACATTATAAACTTATGACAATTTATGGTACAAACCAAAGCAACATATGGCCTCATTTCCCATGCCTGTAGATTTGTATTATCTATTATTATAGGAGATATCTTCTTCTCAAATGCTTCTTTTGCTGAAAAACACAATGGAAAACAACAAAACATTTTTAAGTATTATCTTGATTTTTATTTTTATTTATTTATTTTTTGAGTTGGAGTCTTAGTTGCCTGGACTGGTCTTGAACTCCCAGGCTCAGGCAATCCTCTCTCCTCAGCCTCCCAAAGTTCTGGGGTTACAGACTGATCCACCGTGCCTGGCCTATTTTGATTTTTTAAACTCTGATCTTAGGCTAGTCCAAAGGTAGTGAGTTATCTCAACGAACTATTCACTAAGTCAGTTACAGAGTCAACGCCTTATTCTACTCATCCCTCTTCTCACTACTGTACTTGACTAGTCTTAAAAAATGTCTTTGTCTGGGCATGGTGGCTCATACCTATAATCCCAGCACTTTGGGAGGCTGAAGCAGGAGGACCACTTGAGCTCAGGAGTTCAAGGCCAGCCAGGGCAACATAGTGAGAGCTCATCTCTACAAAAATTCAAAAAATTAGCAGGAAGAGGTGGCACACACCTGTAGTCCAAGCTACTCATGAGGCTGAGATAAAAGGATCAGCTGAACCCATCAGGTCAAGGCTGTGGTGGCTATGAGCATGCCACTGCATTCTAGCCTGAGCGACAGAGAGACTCCAGTGCACACACGCACACACACACACACAAATCCTACAAGCCATTAAATTGCACAATTTGAATAAGAGTGAATGGTATGGCACATGAATTATATCTTAATAAAGTGGTTTTAACTAGAGTGCTGCCAGCTGGGCACAGTGGCTCACGCCTATAATCCCAGCACTTTGGGAAGAGGCAAGAGGATTGCCCGGGCCCAGGGATTCGAGACCAGCCTGGGAAACTTGGCGAGACTTTGTCTCTACAATAAATAAAAAAAAAATTAGCCAGGTACGGTGGCACATGCCTGTGGTTCCAGCCACTTGGAAGGCTGAGGCAAAAGGATAACCTGAGTCCAGCAGGTAGAGGCTGCGGTGCCCATAAGCATGTCACTGCACTCCAGCCTGGGCGACAGAGTAAGACTCCTACGAAAAAACAACAACAAAAAAAACCAGTGCTGCCTATGAGCTTATTATTATTATTGCTGTGGTTGCTGCTGCTATACAGGCACTCTTCATTTTCACTTATCCCTTACAACTGCCCTGGGAGTTCAGTATTATTATACCTTTTATAGACGAGGACACTGGGCCTAGCAAATTATAAACAATTTGCACAAAACCACAGTTAGTGACTGGCAATTCCAAGGCTGATCTTCATCACCATATCATACTGCCTCCCTTATTTTTAGTTGTGCTGGTATTTTCATATTCTCAAGGTCTCACTTTAATCTTCAGTTCAAGAAAGAATATATAAAAATTTAACAATATCTGAAGGCAGCAAACTCAAGAATACCTTTCACAGTGCATTTATCATAAAAGAAAGGCTGCAATATGGTAGGTCTTAGGACTCCTCAGATAAAATTCAAACTATAGGCTGGGCTCGGTAGCTCAGCCTGAAATTCAGCATTTTGGGAGGCCAAGGTGAGTGGATTGCCTGAACCCACAGGTTCAAAAATAGCCCTGGCAGCAACTTGGCAAGACCTGGTCTCTACAATAAATCAAAAATTAGCCGGGTGTGGTAACACACGCCTGTAGTTCGGGCTACCTGGAAGGCTGAGGCGGAAGGATCGCCAGAGCCCAGCAGATCAACTCTGGGGTGGCCATGACTTCACTCTAGCCTGGGCAACAGAGTGAGACACCAACTCAAAAAAAAAAAAAAAATTCGATCTATGCAAATAATTAAACATTTAATGATAATACCATCTTCAGTGAATAGACAACTGTACACTAATAAAGAAACTAAGATTTTACCTATGATCTCCCTGCAGAGAGGCTTTTTTATTCTCATACTATCCTCCATAAAAATTGAACCACTCTAGAAAGGACAAGTGGTTAACAATGCAAATTCCATTTTAGGAAACAGGAACCAGAGTCCACCAGACAACTGTAAGTAACTTGCTTAAGCTATTCTAAAACCCACGTAGAAAATTATATTTACTTTTGAGAAGATCCCCATTGATTAAATAAAACGGAGTCTTATTATGTCATCCAGGCTGGTCTGGATCTCCTGGGCTCAAGTGATCCACCCTGCAAGTACTAGGATTACAGGCGTGAGCCATTGCCTCAAATACTAACTCTTTTAATCCTCATAACAATCCAATAAGACTACCTCTTTTGCCTCTTATTATGAAACATAAGAATTCATGTTAATTATATTCGTTATTATTTTATATACACTACATAGTTATAGAATTAATTATATATTTTTTAAAGTCACGCCTCAAAAATACAAAGTCAATTGTTCTTTTCTTTATCTTTTTTGTGGAGTCGAGGTCTCAATATGTTTCCCAAGCCTCAAACTCCTGGGCTCAAGCAATCCTCCAGCCTTAGCCTGGGATAACAGGTATAAACTACTTTGGCGCAGGGATTACAGATGTGAACTACCACGCCTGGCCGAAAGTGCATTTTATTCTTTTTTTTTTTTTTTTTTGAGTCAGTCTCTCTCTGTCACCCAGGCTGGAGTACAGTGGCACGTTCATGGCCACCCCAGCGTCGACCTGCTCGGCTACTGCGATCCTGCCGCCTCAGCCTTCCACGTAGCCAGAACTACAGGCATGTGCATCACACCTGGCTAATTTTTTGATTTATTGTAGAGACAAGCCAAGTTGCCCAGGCTGGCCGCAAACCCCTGGGCTCAGGCAATCCTCTCGCCTCAGCCTATATTACTCTTGATATTACCCAGATGTCTACCCTTACCACGATTCTGGTTCCATTCATGTGCTTCTCCTAAGTGCTTTACATCAAACTGGTACTGTCCATTTACGCAAAAATAATCATCAGTACTAAGAATGACTCCACTCGGATTATCCTCTTGCAAAGTCCTATGAAAGACAAATGGAATTATTTTCATTAATTTTTTAAAAATTATCTCTCCTTATTTTTACAAAGCCATAATCCAAATATATAATTCAAGTACTATTATTTAAAAGAGTAAGAATAGTGCAAGATTCAAACAAACCATGTTGGAAATTCCCTAAGCAGGAGTTTAGCTCCCAAAAAAATTGACCTAAGGCAGGTCTATTTTGTGTTATGTAAATTATGAACAGAAACTTTTTCTTAGTGTCATAAAGACCTTTATTCTTAACTATGAAGGTTTGAAGACTAAGAAATTCTTAATTATTCTTTTCTGAAAATGTAAAGTTCATTTCTGCCAGACCCTGCTATAAGCACTGGGCATATGGTGGTGAGAGTCTTTTTTTTTCTTTTGCATTGGAGTCTCACTCCGTCACCCAGGCTGGAATGCAGTGACATGCTCATGGCCAGCGCAGCCTTGACCAGCTGGGCTCAGGCGATCCTGACCCTTCCAAGTAACTGGAACTACAGGCATGCCTCACCACATCCGGCTAATTTTTTGATTTTTTTGTAAAGATGAGGTCCTGCCAAGTTGCCCGGGCTGGTCTCGAACCCCTGGACTCAGGCAATCTTCACCTCAGCCTCCCAAAGTGCTAAGATTACAGGCTTAAGCCACTGCATCCGGCCAACAAAAATTCTTGCGCGCAGGGAGTACACACTCTAATACCATGACTGATGGTAGCATCTGTAATATTGAAACGTTTTATGATTACATTGCTCCTCCACTCACTCCTGTGCTCATCCTGTCCTCTCCCAAGGCTTTCCTTTTCTGGCACTTCCTGTTTACCCATTAACCATGTCTATACCTCGGCTATGTTAAAAAGCCCTAACTCTGACCAGCCCAGGCAACTCTCTGTCTTCCAGCCTCAAAGGATAACAAAACTGTTTTGAAGATATCCATTCATGGATTTAAAGTCGATCATACTCAGTGATGTATCACAGAAACAAAGAACAGAGTACCATATATTCTTCCTCATAAGCAGACCTTGAACAATAATCATAATACTATAAGAAAGGGATTGACAGTAGTGGGAAACTGCCAGGGGAGGGGGGATGGGATTGGCAGTTGAGGGAAACTGCTAGGGGAGGGAGGGGCATACCTCATCAAAAAGGGTACCTGCATAATCAACGTTTGTATGCCTAACCCTGAATTGTACCCCACACCTTTATAATAATTTTTTAAAACAAATAAATATTTTTTTAAATTCCAGTTGAAAAAAAAGATACCCATTCATGACCTTCTTTCCATAAATTCGTAAATTTTTGTATCTGTCATTTTTTTTTTGAGTTGGAGTCTCACTCTGTCGCCCAGATGAGTGCAGTGGCCACTCCCGGCCACCGCAGCCTCGACCTGCTGGGCTCCGGCGATCCTTCTGCCTCAGCCTTCCAAGTAGCTGGAACTACAGGCGCGTGCTACCACACCCGGCTAATTTTTTTTTTTTTTAATTTATTGTAGAGATGAGGTCTTGCCAAGTTGCCCAGGTATGTCTCGAACCTGTGGGCTCAGACAATCCACTCACCTCAGCCTCCCAAGGCACGGGATTACAGGCTGAGCCACCAAGCCCGGCTGTATCTGTCATTTTATCTGTGGAGCTGCACACTAGTTTAATCCTGTGGACCATCCTCTCCAAGAAAATTCGGCTTCTCTGTATCTATACTCTTCCAGGGTTCTCTCTTCATTCAAAAACTACGAGGTTCCTAATCTGTGACAAATACTTCTTCCTCTTCCCACTCCCTAATAGCAGCTGCTCTCATTTGAAGGCCCCCAATACCTGGTTCTTCAAACCTGTCTCATAGCTCTAATGCCGTTTTAGGTACCACCCATCAGTCCAATCTCTTTCACAAAATATAATATCATGACTGACTGTAACATCTGTAATACTGAAATGTTTTATTATTACCATTGCTATTCAATCAACAAGAAAAGCCTATAATGTATCTACAGAAGAACATGCCCTAGAGATGTATGAGCAGAATATGTGAAAATTCACTGGAAGATAAATCAGACACAGAAAAGATAGCAAAACACAACTGATAATGAGCTTAAGAAGGATGTGTCCCAAATATCTATGCATATTCATTAAAACAAGATACACCAGGGTCAAAAAGAAAAGAACAGGCTAAGAATATCAGAGGGGAAATAGTTAAAATTTGAAAGAAAAAAAAAAACAAGCCTAGGAAATAAAATAGATTAGGGGCTGAGCACGGTGACTCACGCCTATAATCCCAGCACTTTGGGAGGCTGAGGTGATAGGACTGCTTGAGCCCATAGGTTTGAGACCAGCCCGGACAACTTGGGGAGACCTCATCTCTACAATAAAACAAAAAGAAAACAAATCAGTAGGTGTGGTGGCACCTGCCTGTAGTTGCAGCTACTTGGAAAGTTGAGGCACAAGGATCACCTGAGCCCAGCAGGTCGAGGCTGCGGTGGCTGTGAGCATACCACTGCCCTCCAGCCTGGGTGAGAGTGAGACTCCAACTCAAAAAAAAAAAAAATACACACACACACACACATATATATATATTTATATATATAATATATCATATATATATAATATATATATGATATATAATATATATATATGATATATAATATATATATATGATATATAATAAAATAGATTAGGTGTAAATCTGGAATTTAAAGAGCTATGAAAACAATACTCTCAGCCGGGCTCCGTGGCTCAGCCTGTAATTCCGCACCTTTGGGAGGCTGAGGTAAGTGGATTGCCTGAACCCACGGGTTCGAGACCTGCCTGGGCAACTTGGTGAGACCTCATCTCTACAATAAATAAAAAATTAGCCGGGCATGGTAGTGCGTGCCGGTAGTTCCAGCTACTTGGAAGGCTGAGGCGGAAGGATCGCTGGAGCCCAGCAGGTCGAGGCTGCAGTGACCAGGAGTAGCCACTGCACTCCAGTCTGGGCAACACAGTGAGACTCCAACTCAAAAAAAAGAAAAAAGAAAACAATACTCTCTAAGGAATACCCTGAAACCAAAACGAAGCTGCCTGGAACCCTGGCTCCTGTCACCCAGATCAAGGCCCTTACAACCTACCTTACCCACACAAGGAAAATAGGTGAACACAGGAGATAAAATAACTAAGGCTGTATTCTGGGACAAATAAATGATGACAATCATAAGTTCTCTGACTGCCAGTAGTCATCCTATGCCCTCTTCCTTCAAATCACATTTCTAAAAGATTATTTAACAGCCGGACACGATGGCTTACGTCTGTAATACAGGCACTTTGGGAGAGGGAGGTGAGAGGATTGCCTGAGTCCAGGGGTTTGAGATCAGCCTGGGCAATTTGGCAAGACCTTGTCTCTACAATAAATCAAGAAAAATTAGTTGGGCATAGTGGCACGCGCCTGTGGTCCCAGTTACTTGGAAGATTAAGGCGGAAGGATTGCCTGAGTTCAGCAGATTGAGGCTGTGGTGGCCATGAGTATGCCACTGTGCTCTAGCTTGGGCACAGAGTTAGAGTCTGACTCCAAAAAAAAAAAGATAATTTAGCAACATACTATAATCCTGAATTTCCAACTACCAGTAAAATTCATTTACTTAAGACTTCCATTCCATGAATTCAGGATTGATTATGTCTCTTCAACTCTATAATCAAAGCAGAACCCATCTTTCTCCCACTCAAATGAGCTCTCTTCCACATAAAGCTACTTCTGTATATTTCAATAGCTCACACTCTTGGAATCATCTTTAATTTTTTCTTCTGTCTCTCCAAATAATATTTTGAGATGAAAGAATTCAATAAAAAACTTTCAGAGAAAACAGTGTTATTAACTACAAAGAACAATTCAGAGCCGGTGGCTCAAGCCGGTAATCCCAGCACTTTGGGAGGCAGAGACAGAGGATTGCCTGAGTCCAGGGGTTCAAGATCAGTCTGGGCAACATGGCAAGACCTCGTCTTTACAATAAATCAAGAAAAATTAGCACACGCCTGTAGTTCATCTACTTGAAAGGCTGAAGTGGAAGGACCACCTAAGCCCAGCAGGTAGAGGCTGCGGTGGCCGTGAGTGTGCCACTGCACCCCAGCCTGGGTGTCAGAGTGAGATGCCAACTCAAAAAAAAAAAAAACCAATTTGGGGCAGGCGCAATGGTTCACGCCTATAATCCCAGCACCTTGGGAGGCCTAGGTGAGACAACTGCCTGAGCTCATGGGCTTGAGATCAGCCTGGGCAACTTGGCGAGACCTCATCTCTACAATAAATTTAAAAAAAAAAATTTTTTTTGCGGCCGTGGTGGCACTTGCCCGAAGTTCCAGCTACTCGGAAGGCTGAGATAGAAGGATCGCCTGAGCCCAGCAGGTCGAGGACTGCCGTGGCCGTGAGCGTGCCACTACACTCCAGCCTAGGCGACAAAGACCCCAACTCAAAAAAACAACAACAAAAAAATCAATTTAGTAAAAAGAAAGCATTTTAGGTATTATTAAAGATCTCTACTAAGTAAAGTATTTTGCATATCCACATTATCTGCTCGAATTCAGACATTATACGCTTTTTGTAAGCACCATTAAACCTCATACCTTGCCAAAAAAGATTTTCCTGATCCTGGAAGCCCTCTGAGAAGAACCAAAGCTAGTCTCACACGTGACTTTGTCTTCTTTTTTCCAACCTGAGCAGCCAGGTTTTCTTGGACTTGGTGAGCAGTGGTTGCCTCTTGATTTCTCTGTACCTTTTCTGGGGAAGTGTGAGACATAACCGAGGGTGGAAACATATAGGTGACAGATCTCCGGTGTGTAGCTGAGATTACAGCAGGAGACACAAAGTCATGGTTGCCTTGGAAGAGGTCAAAAGGTGGAAGAATTGGGTTCCACAGCCGGGGAGAGAGAGAATGGCGCAGCTGCCAAGGGAGAGTCGTCAGCACCGGGTAGTAACTCACAACCTTCCCCTTGGGCAGTGGTTCAAGATACTTCTGCAGCGTGAAACTGACCCCTTCAGAAGGCACAAACTCATCAGAGACCGAAGCAGATTTCTGATCCCCTTCTGAATCTGGTGAATCAAACTCTGGAAGGTTCGAAGAAGCCTGAGGTGGTTCATGGGCATCCAAATCTACAGGAGATTGAGAGAACTGAGCCTTGGCACACTCGGATTCTAAAGGTTCTTTCTGCTTTGGGTTGAGATGGCTACAAACCAAGTCAGAGTCACTCACTACATTCAAAGAACTTCTGAGAAGAGGATCTTCTTGGTGGGTATCTTCCGATGCCAATGCGTTATCCTTTATAAAACACTCGGACTCATTCGAACCTGAATGTGAAGGTAACGGGTCTGAACTTAATGCAGAAGCAGAATCCTCTACGCTTTCACTGTTCAAATCCATATTTTGTGTAGAAGGAACGGGAGTCATATCACTTGAATCAGAATTGATAAACTCACTCGGGTGATTAGAACTATGAACATCTTGCAGAGGTAAAAGGGAGCTTGCTTGGTCATCAGGTGAAGAGTTCAGATTCTCAAAAGCATTCTGTATTAAGGAATCCAAGTCTTCAGGTAGCTGCACATCTAAAAATGAATCCATTTTTGAATTTTCACTCTTCTTTGCAGGACACTTTTCCATGATTTTACTTTCTGCTGCACTTACTTGGTTCTCAGAAGCAACAAAACTTTGTGAAGATGACTCCTGTATCTTGGCATCGGTGGCAGATAATGCTAATAGACAATCAACAGCATTTTCAACTGTATAAGAACAACAGAAACATAGAGAGTGAAAAAGCATGATATATAATTTTATTAAAATTCAGCTAAAATTATAATGAATTTTGCACTGAATAGAACATACAGAACTTTATATACTCAAGTCATTTTTTTTTTTTTTTGAGTTGGAGTCTCACTCTGTTGCCCAGACTGGAGTGCAGTGGCCGCTCCCAGGCACCGCAGCCTCGACCTGCTGGGCTCCGGTGATCCTTCCGCCTCAGCCTTCTGAGTAGCCGGAATTACAGGCATGCACTACAACGCCTGGTTGTTTTTTTGATTTATTGTAGAGATGAGGTCTTGCTGCCCAGGTGGGTCTCGAACCCACGGGCTCAGGCAATCCACTCACCTCAGCCTCCCAAAGGCGCGGGATTACAGGCTGAGCCACCAAGCCCAGCTTCAAGTCATTTTTTTAAATTAATATTTTACTAACACACCAAAGTCTGTATTAGAGAAAAGTCTGAATGATGGAGACAGGTATTCTTGTTCTTTCAGGCAAATAGTAATGAACCAGGCTAAAAAAAATATCATCTAGTAAATATTTTTGGCTAAATTTACTGAGTAAATGTATAAATATCTGTAACTGTATATATTAGGATTATTTATAAAGGTCCTAAAGCCAGTTAATATATTCAACAAATACCTACTGCATGTACTTTTTGTTTTGTTTTTTGCATGTACCTTTAAGTATTGAGTATTGTAAGTACCTGCTTAGTAAATTTGATTTATGTATATGGTCCATGCTATGAATTTCATGGAACATAAAAACCGTTTACGAGCATGTACTACATATCAAAAACACTTTAAGATGAATTAAGATATAACCTTTACTATACTCAAAGAATTTTGCTGTCTAATAGAGGAGATTAAAGATAATATTAAAAGATGATTACATCTGAGTTTAATCTAGATTATATTTAATAATCTAAATAATTAAATAATATATAAATTATATTTAACCTATATTTAGATTAGATTATTATATGCCATAGATGCCTGTAGGAAAATAAGAAAAGATTTCTTATTAAGTGATATGTAAGCTGAGCCTTGAAAATTAAAAAGTACCAGACACAAGAGGGCAAACCCAGGCTTAAAAATACAGAGCATACCTAAGGTGTTAGGAAAAACTGGTCGGAGTGCGGGCACACAGTGATACGCATGGTAGGAAAAGAAAGATCAATCTAGAGAGGAAAGCATGTGAAACTAGGAAGGGCCCTGTATATCATGCAAATATTCATTTTATTTTCTAGGGGAACTTGAGGGAAAACTGCCAGTCATAGCATTTCAACTAGCAGCTTTATACACATCACCTCACTGAATTCTCAAATAATACTATGAGGTATATTATTCCTAGTGAAGAGATGAAGAAAATAAAGTTCAAGTCCAGTGTGGTAGCTCACGCCTGTCACATCCCAGCACTTTGGGAGGCAGAGGCAAGAGGATTGCCTGAGCCCACAGGTTTGAGATCAGCCTGGGCAACACGGCGAGACCTCATCTCTACAATAAAATAAAAAATTAGTTGGGTGTGGTGGTGCACACCTGTAGTTCCAGCTACTTGGAAGGCTGCAGTGGAAGGAGCACTCCAGCAGGTAAGGCTGCAGTGGCCATGAGCATGTGACTGAACTCCAGCCTGGGCAACAGAGTAAGACTCTGACTCAAAAAAAAAAGAAAAGAAAAGAAAATGAAGTTCAAAAAGCACATGAACTTGGCCCAAGTCACACGGATAGTGTGAGACAGAGTCAGGACTGGTGCATCTGACTCCAACACTGAGCCCTTTCTGCTATCACACAAATAGGGAGCCTTTAGAATTTTAAAGTATTAGAACTTTGGGGGGGGGGGTTTGTTTACTTTTATTTTCATGTTTTGTCTTGCTATTTTAAGGAAGATACGTCTGTCTGGAAGCAGCATAGGACGGTGGGTAGCAGCTCTGGTCTGGAGTCAGAACACCAGCATTTAAATCTCTACGGCTGGCTGTGACACTGTGAACAAGTTAGTTAACATCCCTAAACCTCAATGTTCTCATTTGTAATATGGGGATAATAAAAGTACCTACCTCATAGGTTGTTGTGAGGATTAAATGAGATAATCCAGGAAAAAGTGCTGTGCGCAAGGACCGGCACCTAGTGAGCACCCAATTAATGTTCCCTTAAGAAGAAAAACAAAGAGGGATTGGAGGGGGCAAGCCTGGCAGAGAGACCAATTAGGAATCATAGCAACACTACAAAGGCTAGATAGAAACCCTGAAAATGGAAAAGGAAAAAAAAGAAAGCAAATATAAGACGTATTTCTATGAAAAAAATCTACATGATAGTAAAACCAGAAAGAAAAAGATGAACTAAAAGACTAATATGTATCTGATGAAAAACAGCATTAAGCAAAAATAAATAAAAGGTCAAGATAGGTTGAGAGTTATCACATAAAAAGTCCTTATACAGATTGTTGGGAAAAATTTAAACCATGATATTTTTTTAAAAGGCATGAATAATTGACACAAGAATGCACAAATTAATTAGCAATCATGTTTTTTAAAGTTCAATATTCCTCTTTATTTAAAACACACAAAATAAGAAAAGGTGCAATTTTATTTCTATTAAAATGTTACTACACAATTCTGAGAAGGTTGTGGTAAAACCACTACACTACACTGAGGCAGTGCTGGGAGTATCACAAATCAGTACATGTTGTCAGGAGGCAATTCAGCAGTCTGCTTCCCAGAGCTGAAAGTTGTTCTTACCCTGAGACGCAAGAAAACAAAACTCTGGAACTAAGAAAAAAAGGTCAAAAGAAAGAAGCACCTGTTTTTACCAAGATGACCTCTGCAGTATTAATTATTCATGAAAAACTTAGATACAATTAAATAAATTAGAGCATTAACAACCCAGTGGAAAAACAGATTGCAACATTGAAACGATGTTTCTGTTAAGTTTAAAAAGCAGAATATGAAATTTCATGGATGCTATGATTTAAACTACTCAAATACCAGGTGTTTATGAACAAGGTCTACAGAAGATTCTAGAAAATAGAAGTAAGTTTGTGTTGTCATATAGGGTAATATAGTTTTCTTGCAATTCTTTATTGCTATGTTAGTTTATGTGCCACAAATAAATGTTAAAGACATCAACATTAGGAGATAAATGCTGAAGTAGTTTCCAAAACTCTCTACACTACCATTTCTGAGCTTTACGTGCACTACTGGAACCTGCTTTTCTGCAGGCGTCACCGGCTAGATAAGATATGCTCACATGACAGACCACATGATGACTGAAACTGAAAGTTTATCCCACATTACCAAGATTTCCCAATTCTAGAATAATTTTATCTTCCATCATCATGGCCAATAACAATGCTGAGCATCAGTGCTTAATTTACTCATTCAGTCAACTTATAGATTCTGTCTATAAACATACTTCTAAACGATTTATTACAAGTAGTTAATAACCCATTATACTGAAGACTTTACCAAAAACAAAACTAAACTCAATCTTCACCCAAAAAAGTTCTATAAGGTACATGACAATCTTTTTCTCATTAACAGATTAGAAAACTGTGACTCAGAGCGCTTAGTGGCAGAGGTGGAAGTACAACCCAGGTTTCTGGACTACAAAGCTCATGTTTTGAAACACACTATTCAGTTAGCCTCAGCTTTTAATCAGCTCTTATTTCCATAATTATAATTACCTAGGTACATCATAAATATTTACGAAGCTCCTACTATGGGTCCTGGGCTATTTTATGGGCTGGAAGCATAGCAGTAAAACAAAACAGTTTTTAAGATCTCTGTCTTGCCATACATGGTAGCTCAAGCCTGTAGTCCCAGCACTTTGGGAGACCGAGGCGAGAGGATTGCCTGAGTCCAGGGGTTCAAGACCAGCCTGGGCAACTTGGTGAGACCTTGTCTCTCTACAATATATCAAAAAATTAGCTGGGCAAAGTAGCGCACACCTGTAGTTCCAGTTACTTGGAGGGCTGAGGCGGAAGGATCGCCTGAGCCCAGCGGATCAGTGCTGGGGTAGCCATGAGCGTACCACTGCACTCCAGCCTAGGCAACAGAGTAAGGCTCTGACTCAAATAAATAAAATTAAAAATACCTCTGTCTTTATGGAGCTTATATTCAAGGACAGTGATTCTCACCCAGGTACGATTTTGCCTCCTGGGGACAAATTACAATATATGGCAACATTTTTAATTGTCACAACTGGGAAGGTAGAGAGCTACTGGTATATATGGGTTATAGGCCAGGGATGTTGCCGAGCACCCCACAATGCACTGGACAGTCACTCACAATGAAGAACTGCGTGGCCCAAATTGTCAACAGGGCCAGCCTCTTCTAGAGGAAAGAAGAGACAAAACATAAAATGTGATACCTATACATACATCCTACACCCAGAACTGTACAATTCTTACTGGCAAAAACTAGGCTTTATTCTCCTTCATATCCCAAGCAACAAACTTAGCAACTTGCCCCCAGTAGATGCTTAAAAACAGATGAGTACAACAGATATAAGAGCTCTTGCTCCAGATCACGACTGGTCATGGCACAGGACATGAAGTTTTCCTAGAAAATGCAAACGGTTCAAACTAAACTTTTTCTCACCTTTGAAATCACATTCAGAAAGCATCAAATATACTACATCGGGATCCAGGTCAGAAAACATCTCTGAGATACTGGTGAAGAGTTCTTCCTGATCAAGTGTCTCACCCATGGAAGGGAGTGTAGTGGTTGGCTCCTCACAGCTAGCAACACTGGACACGATACCTTCCTTAGCATCTGCGGTCTTCCGAAAAGGATTTCCCCCAAGATTTTTCCTTCTCCTTGGCATTCTGACTTCCAAAACTAAAATGTTTCCCTTTTCTTATTTAAGATGTTTGATATTTAAGCCATAATTCAAAGAAAACAGGGTTAAATATCTTGCACAATTCAGCAGTGAAAGGACCTAAAATGGAAAGCAATTAAAAACACTCAGACTGTATATTTCCATTTCCATTTCTAAAATCGGAATAACATCTTTATTTAACTCTAAACGAGTACTAGCAACTATGGCAGCCAAGCCAAATGTAGTCAATTTCTCCCTCTCCAAAATATTCAGGTTGTGCTAGGATTGAGCATGTTAAAAAGATATTAGCAACATGTAATGTATTTCAGAACAGTGAGAACACTGTTTTAATGGCATTAGTTCATTTTCTAAATACAGAAAGCAGTGTTCATCGATGTAATTAGAATGCCTACCGAACCCCCAGCTGGCAGTCTAAAGACACTGTACATTTAACATGTCCAAAACTGAAGTCCTGATCACCCGCTTTGGCCCTGCTCTTCCCATCTTTCCCATCTCAGTTAAGGCAGCTTCCAATTGCTCAGGTCACAAACCTCTGAAGAATCCTTGACTCCTCTCGTCCCATATCCAGCAGGTAAGCCAGTTTTCCCAGTGCAACCCCTAGATGCATCCAGAATACAATTCTTCCTCACCACTTCCACTGCTGCCAGCCTGAACTCAGTGGTTACTGCCACTCACCTGGATTACTAGAGCCATCTCCTAACTAAACTCTAGCATCCCCCAGCCCCTTCAGTCTAGCACAGAAGCCACAGGGACCCAACTAACCATGCTTCTCCTCTGCTTAACCATTCATCAGCTTCCTGTTCCACTCAGAAAGCCAGACCCCTAAAATGGCCCATACCCTGGACACCTGTTACCTCTGTACCGTCATCCTCAGTCCTCTCTCCCTCGCTTATATCACTGCAGCCACACAGCCTCCTCGCACTTCAGACACACCAGCCGAGCATTTCTCTGGAAGCTTCTATGCCTTGTTCCCTCTCCCTGAGCTACTTTCCTCCCAGGCCTAGAAGATTTATTTTCTCACGACCTTCATATAATTATCCAGATGTGACCTTCTCAGGAACTCGGTCTCCAAGACTACTTAGATACACTTTCCTACTTGAATTTTCTCCACCAGTCTTACTACCTTCTAACACAGTACACATGTTTTATTTACCTGTTGTATTGTCTACCGTACTCCCATTCGGTGTAAGTTTCGGGGGCAGGACTCACAACTGGAGGAGAACTAGAGACAGTCTACTTCTTCTCTCCACTTGGACAAATCTAAACTTTTGGGGCTGAACATACCCAAAGCTATATGTCTAAAATTGTTCTCAAAATCTGCTCCAAGGCTTGGGTCTGACTACCATCATCTTTCCTTCAAATATTTGTTAAAGTGTCACATTCAATAATTTCTCTCTTGACGATCCAATGGGAAATCATATACCCACACCCTCTTCCCCAATCTCCCCTTGACTGCTAACTCCCCATTGCCCTTATCACCTTCTCACAGATTATACGATTTACCTTTTTTTTAGTTAGTCTGTCACCAAGGATGGAGTGCAGTGGCACACTGCTCACGGCCACTGCAGCCTCGACCTGCTGGACTCAGGTGATCCTTCTTCCTCAGCCTTTCAAGGAGCTGGAACTACAGGCGCACACCTCACCACGTCCAGCTAAATGTTTTTTGGCTTATTATAGAGATGAGGTATCACCACGTTGCCCAGGTGGGTCTCGAACGCATGGGTTCAGGCAGTCCTCTCCCTCCATCTCCCAAAGTGCTGGGCATATAGGCGTGGGCCACTGTGCCTGGTGTGCCTCGTTATTAACACACCAGTTTAAACAAGCAAGTACAGTTTCTTCACACACACATCGGCCCTAGATAGAGAGTATTCTAAAAGGATATGGAAGATGGGACATGGTGGTTCATGCCTGTAATCCCAGCACTTTGGGAGGCAGAGACAAGAGGATTGCCTGAGCTCAGGGGTTTGAGACCAGCCTGGGCAACATGGTGAGACCTTGTCTCTTACTAAATATAAAAATAATAATAATAATAATAATAATTAGCTGGGCGTGGTGGCGCAGGCCTGTTATTCCAGCTAATTGGAATGCTGAGGCAGAAGGGCTTGAGGCTACAGTGGTCATGAGCATGACACTGCCCTCCAGCCTGGGCAGGAGAGTGAGACTCAAACTAAAAAGAAAAAAAAAACTGTTCATTTTGGAGCTGGGCACAGTGGCTCACACCTGTAATCCCAACAACTGGAAGGCTGAAGAAGGAGGGTTGCTTGAGCCCAGGAGCTTGAAACAAACCTGGACCACACAGGTAGATCCCATCTCTAAAACAAAAAATATTTAAAAATTTTTAAAAATCATTTAGGCTCCACCATTTGTTTTAGTAATATTTAAATTTTAGGATTGCTGTCAAATTTGAGAAATCCCTATCAAGTTTCTTTCATGTATGGAGTACAGTTCAAGGTATTTCGAGATCTCCTGCTCAGTAGTAAACCTTAAATACTCTACATCGACATTTGTCAACAGTTTGCTATAGTAGCATTCCAGGAAGCGATTCCTTACACTGGGATGACAGCAAGAACTTAACTAACCACAAGGATGAGGGTAAACTACATAAATATATTCCACTAAATTCATACTAAACGTATTTTCCATTCAAGCTTCCCTCAATCAGATGCTCAAAATGCCTGAGGACATTCCAGTGCCTTCTAGCACAAGGCAGGGACAGGCTGAAGAACCTTCTCTTGTTCTGGACTCCGCTAAACCCAGCAGCTCAAACCTGTAATTCCAGCATTTTGGGAGGCCTAAGTGAGAGGATTGCCTAAGTCCAGGGGGTTCGAGACCAGCCTGGACAACTTGGCAAGACCTCATCTCTACAATAAATTGAAAATTAGCCAGGCGTGAGAGCTCACGCCTGTAGTTCCTGCTACTTGGAAGGCTGAGTCAGAAGGATCACCAGAGCCCAGCAGGTCGAGGCTATGATGGTTATAAGAATGCCACTGCACTGGGCTCGGTGGCTCAGCCTGTAATCCCACGCCTTTGGGAGGCTGAGGTGAGTGAACTGCCTGAGCCCGCAGGTTCGAGACCCGCCTGGGCAACTTGGTGAGACCTCATCTCTACAATAAATCAAAAAATGAGCTGGGCATGGTAGCGCGTGCCTGTAATTCCGGCTACTCGGAAGGCTGAGGCAGAAGGATCGCCGGAGCCCAGCAAGTCAAGGCTGTGATGGCCGGGAGCGGCCACTGCACTCCAGTCTGGGTGATAGAGTAAGACTCCAACTCAAAAAAAAAAAAGAATGCCACTGCACTCCTGGGATACAAAGTGAGACTCCTACTCAAATAAATAAATTAATAAATAAATAAAGGCATATGGAAAAGAAGGGTGTGTTAAGTAAGGCTTGTTAGAGTATGGAGAAATGGGAATGGACTGACTCAAAAAAAGACTCTAAAAGCAAACAACTAACAACAATAATCCAGAAATATAAACTTCATGTACACATTTTTTTTTTTTGAGTTGGAGTCTCACTCTGTCACCCAGGCTGGGGTACAATGGCATGCTCACAGCCACGGCAGCCTTGACCTGCTGGGCTCAGGCAATCCTTCCTCCTCAGTCTTCCAAGTAACCAGAACCAGGCACGCCCCACCACACCCAGCTAATTTTCTTATTTATTGTAGAGACAAAGTCTCACCAAGTTGCCCAGGCTGGTCTCGAACTCACGGGCTCAGGCAATCCACTCACCTCAGTATCCCAAAGTGCTGGGATTATAGGCATGAGCCACCACTCCCAGCCATACACATTTGTTTTAAATCCTTCTACCTCTATTATTCAGTTTTAATCTGATAGAGAACAGAATCAATGAATTTTTGCCCACTGATTATTATCATGATATTGCAGCATAAGCCACTGTGCCCGGCTTCACTCTAGTTTTTTCAAACATAAGGACATATGTTTAAACATTTTTTAAAAATTCACAGTGCACATGAAATCTATAAATAATAATAGAGTAAACATGATCTCTCATAGTGGTATAGCAATGGCCAATACTGCCATTAAAGTAGACATCCCAATAAACACTTCAAAAGAAAACTTCCGATTAAAAATCACAACATTCACACCCAAAAAGTCCCTTTTTTCTTTTCTTTTTTATGTTTTTGGATAGTTTTAATCATTTTTAAATCTCCTATTCCACCACAAATATAGAATACATTCTTGTAATAGTAGCACTCCCAAATGATGTATTTAAAAAATTATTTAGGTATTTTGAAAGGTTTTAAAGTCAATTATATGCTATTCTTTAAACAAGTTATTTATTTCTTTTAAAAAAAAAACAACAACAGGATTTACTGAGAGGACAGGAAAGCTCCCATAGTGGGAGGGGACCCGAGGGCTTGCCCTTTTTTTTCCCCCCCAAGTAAGTGTCTCACTCTGTCACCCAAGCCGGAGTGCAAAGGCACAATCATGGCTCACCACAGCCTCTCCTTGCTGGGCTCCAGGGATCTTTCTGTAATATTTTTTTACAAAGACACAAATGCAACATCCTAAAAAACTCAAAATGTACTACTGATATGAATTCCTACGAGCTTTCTGTGTTATATACAAGCCAAGAAATTTTTTTTAAAACTGGTAAATATTTAGGAACTTTCAAACATCAGAAGCTTTAAACTCTAACTATATGTAGTAGCCCCTCAAAAACCTGTGACCTGCCTCTTTTGAAAAGTATTGTCTCTACAAAGAATCTTATCAGCTATGCAAAAACCCATATAGTTTTTGCACTGAAGCTAAAAACATGGAACGCTTTGTGAAGTTGCCTGTCATCCTTGCTCAAGGGTCATGCTAATCTAATCTGTGTCATTCCAATTTTAGTCTATGTGTAGCTGAAGCAACCATTCCCATATTGTTTCAGAAATAAATCTGTTATATGTAGCATATAACAAGAAGTCATTTTAAATAACCTACCTTTATGGAAAAATATCCAGAAAAGATTTCCATAACAATCAAGACATTCTATTTAATACTCAGTACCAACCATCTAGGAAAAATAGGTCCAAGAAAATTGATACTAACAATCAAATATACTAATGCACCTTAGCTTCTTTAAGACCATCCAAAAA